TAAAATGGTAACAATATTAATCCATTCAGAATAATAATTATCTTTGAAAATAATTTTTATTGAATTAAATTAACAAAATGTTTTACAAAAAAATTTAAAATCAAAAATAAACAAAAATCCTATAATATTAGTGTTTATTTATTCCAAATATTTTCAATTCAAAATAATATTTCATCTGTATTTGTTTATTTATTTACTCTTATAATAATATTTTGTGAAAATATAATCTGTAATATATTTACTAATTTAAAAATTAATATTGCTGGTAATTTTTTTTATTAATTATATAGACTAAAATTATTGTAAAATTTAATCATTTATAACCAATAGTACAAATACTAATTATGATTGCCAGTTTCATCAAGAGTTGTTCTATTTGAAAGATTAAATAATAATGATATTTCATTCATGTTTTCTATTAAAAAAGTGAATAATTATATTGAATACATTGAAAAAAATAAAAATAAATAAATATCAATTACTTAATTTGTTGTGAGATATAAAATCATCTATCAAATATCTGGATAAAGATCCTGATAGAAATCTTGATAGCTTGCTTTATTAATTTTTATTTGATCTACATAGAATATCTTACACTCCAATATCGGATGATCGCCATCGGGATCGACACTTTTCGCCGTGGCTAGCTTACTTCGTCTTTTTGCAACTTGACCAAAAACTTCTTAAACTTCGGGAGCGTGCGTGGAGGCACTATTTTTTAGACTTGATTTTTCAAAAAAATGATTGGTTAAAATTTTGCACATTCTGCGCATAGATTTTAAACGGTTCTTCAATTCAAGAACAAACTCAATCGCGTCTATTAACAAAATGAACCCAACAACTGGCTTGCCTAATTCTCGCCGCTCTACCATCTCTGAAGATGATAATCTTCAAGTTCATCGTGAAGGTGTTACCACGGCCAGCAAAGACTGGACCACGATAAAAGTCATTGACTTGGTTATAGACCAAAAAGTCATTACCATGCAAGTTTTGATTCAAAAAATTCTGCGTCTTTACCGATTTGAATTTTGAATGCTTTTTTACCCTTTTGCTTTATCTAGTGATGGTGACACTCCCATTGAAGAAGCTTGTGATGTGCATAATTATTTATTTTCATTTTTGGACTTCTAATTTTTTCAATTTGAGAATTCAATTAAAATGCTATTTTTTTAGATATTGATACAAAATAATATTTCTTCGGCTCCAGTTTACGACTCCCACGTAAAGAATTTTGTGGGAATGTTTGATTGGGCCGACGTAATGTCTTATTTATTGATTGTGCTCAAGAAAAAGAATATCAAAGAACAACAACAGAAAAGCGAAGAACAATTAACTTCAGAATTCAAGGATTTAATTAGATTGGCAATACAATTTCAACCAGTCCCTGTTAAATTGGCATCCGGTGAGTTTTTCAAGGACTCCTCGTCTTAATAGTTGATGCTGATTAATAATGATGGATTTTATTATTTTAAAAAGATTTGTCAAATAAAAATCCATTCTACTCTGTAATACCCGAGACATCATTGTTTCAAGTCGTGGAATTGTTTGGAAGTGGCACTCATCGAGGTAAATATTATGTTTTGTTTTATATATGTAATTATTTCAATTTTTACTATTGTTACTTATGTTCCTTTATATACAGTTTCTATCATAGATGCTGATGGAAATTTGAAGGGAATCCTAACACAATCGAACGTTATTAATTATTTGTATCAGAATGTAAGCCAATTTTTCTTTTGAACTTATGATCTTTATGTCTCATTTCATTATATTTATTTTCTTATTATTTAATAGGTTACTCATTTTCCACAAATTGAAAGAATTTTCCCCAAAACTGTAAGGATTTACTTCCAATGTTTCCGTTTGTACCAATGACTCTTCTTATAATGATTTTACAGGTCCGTGAGCTCGGAATTGGACTGGATCATGTGATAACTGCACAAGCAAGTTCAAATGTTCTCGATGCGTTAACAATGATGAATAAAAATGGTTTTAGCAGTATTGGCAAGTTTTTTTATTTCTACAAGTTTATTGTAATTTGTTTTTGGTTTATGTGTGTATTAATGAGTTGCTAATAAACCTAGTAATAAATTATTATTAATACAGGAATAACCAATGAAGATGGAATGCTAACTGGAAATGTCAGCATGTCAGATGTTAAAGTAAGAGAAAAAATTTGTAGCTTATAATAATTGATGTATTTCGATTAATTGATGTGCTACAATTTACAGTATATCTTGCGGAGCTATCGTCATTCTTTATTGTGGAAAACTTGTCGTCAGTTTTCTAGTCACGTGAGAAGTCGTCAAGGATTAGAGGATGGGCAAGATCGATATCCTGTATTTGATATACGTCCAAATTCTACGATAGGTTATACCATCGCTAAACTAACCGCAACAAAAGCTCATCGTGTTTGGGTAGTCGATGAGAAAATGCATCCAATTGGAGTTGTCAGTTTGACTGATATATTGAGCGTGTTTGCTCGAGAAGCTGGTGGAAACCCGGATCCTAAACGACAAAGAAGTATGTCAGCCGCAAAGGAACCGCAATTTTGACGGATCAGTAATTACACTACGGAAACCTTGACGCTAGCAAAATTCTAAGTTTTACTTAAATTTCATTTTGTATAATAGTCATCATATTTTATTCTTATGCGAAATTAATGTTCGCAATTTGTTTAATCAACACTTTTTTATTGCAAATTGATTTTATCGTCAAAGTTTCTATTTACAATACATGAATTAATCCGTGTGTATCTAATTGTGTATATGATTGTTAAGAAAAACCAATAAATTAAAGAGTTGATCATTGTAACTTTTAAATTATGCTATAAACAAGTATTTAGTGAGCTGGTCTTTCTTGGGTAAACGAGGTCAGCAATGACTGTTGTGTCGGAGCATTCTATTAATCTTTGGTTATTGATAGAGCTTACGATTAGGAACATCTTTTTTGTGTTGATTTATCAATGATTTATTGTCGATTTCAACACCAACATCGACAGCTTCAATGTCTTCATCCTTTTTTCTCTTTCTGTTTACATTGCCACGTTTACGTGTATTTTTTACGTGCATCTTGGAATTCTTCATTTACTTCTGATTCCACAGCCATTACTTTCCGTTTGTTGCTTTTACGACCTTTAGTTTGTGTTGATCCAACCTTCCGTTTGTTGCTTTTACGACCTTTAGTTTGCGTTGATTCAACTTCGTCGGGTGGAACTAAAACTGATTCGTCCACTTTGAATAGATTATATTTTTGATATAGTTGGAATACCGCTTGTTCTTTGTCCTTTGCTTCAATCATCAAATCCATATCTGGATCACAAGGTGGAAGTTGTACCACTCTATCAGAATGAGCTCTCTTTTCCATTATCGAATTAGCACCTCGGCGACTTTCAGAGTAATGTTGTTTAGGTTTGAACCCGCGATCAGTCCAAGTTTTATTAATCTCTGGTATTATAGCAAGTAAATCTTCAAAGGACAAAGTTCCGGGATACAATTTATGATGATGCCAATCCAAAACGAGGGGAATGCTCAACTTCTGACATACTGGCAAAAGATCTTGAACACAATAAGAAAGTTCATCGTTTTCTAAAACTAATCGATTCTTGATTCTGGGTGGCAAAGCCAAATAATTTTGCTCGAATCTCTCCAGAGTTTCCTCTTTATTCTCATACATGCCTCCCATGTGGATTACCATAATTGAATCGGGTGGTAAAGCCATGAGATCAAGCATTTCCGCATGGTAATCGAGTTCTCTGATGGTTTTCTCAACTGTAATTCGATTAGGCGAACCTAGTTGATTAAATTGTCCCGGGTGCGTTGTTAATCGATGTCCATGTTTAGCGGCAAATTCACCGATTTGTCTTAATTCTTTTTCTGCAAACGAGAGAGAATAACCGTATTCAATTGAGCTGGCAAATGGAAACATTTGAGAGGACATACGCATAAATTTAATGTCGTGTTTTTCATTAAATTTGACCATTTCAAGTAAGTCCCTGACATTCTGAAGTCCGAGTCCACGGACGTACTCCATTCCTTTTTTTTTAATAGTCGCGATTCTACATGTCCTCGCACAAAATATGGATTGTTTTTGTTTCCTAAGAAAAACATTAAGGCATGCATACCCAAGTCTTCCACGGAAATTGGTGATGTTTGAATCTTTTTTGGACGAAGAAGCCATTACATGAGTGTTTCGTAGTATAGACCACTGATATTTAATTATAGTTTTGTTAGAACTTCTAAGATAAATATTTTGGAATCCTGTTGAAAGATTCAACTTGAAGAAAGCTTGTTGAAAACCTCGAGTTATTTTATACACGGTTTGAAAGTTAAAGAGAATTGGAGGATAGAAGGTAAAACAACTATCGCTATATATAAAAATTTTACGCGTCTGTGAATATCGGACAAATCGTGTTTTTAGTCATCATCACATTTTCTCACGATTTTCTGGATCACAATTCATTGTTGACTTCTTTTTTCGTAATCGGATGATCTTTGGCTCTTTCTCGATTCTTTGATCGATTCTTGAAATCTCGATTGTTGAAATCTCGATTGTTGATCGATCCTTGAAACCTCATTCGTATACAGTGGCCTGCATAAATAACGCACCACTTGCATCGCTAATCGTTGATCACCTGATTTTAACTCACATGCAATC